AAAACAAATAAGAATATTTAGAAAAACCTTAGAACTCTCTGAGTCCCTTAATTTACATTACAAAAGTTTACACATTTATCAGCAATACAAATAGAAATATATGGCCACCTTTTAGTTTGGCTAGAGTAAGGAATGGTTACAACCCTTGTTGGAGTTTTTTTTTATGCTGTCTGTGTTTCACTGGGGAGATCTCCCTTTATTTCTTGTACCAAATACCCAACAATCTCTGAAGTGAGGTGAAACCTTTGAGACAGTTGTTACCAGGACATGTGCAACCATTGAAAAAGGAATATTTTGTGGGCTGCCCTGGGACAGAGGCCACAACTGCCACCCATTGTTTATTTTTTTTTATTTTTCAGCCACTACAATCAGCGCTGCATCACCAGCTTCTGTCCAACTCAGACTTTAGATAAAGCAGCAGTTCAAAGCCAATGGAGGGCTGCCCTAGGCTTCTCCATGGCTCTAATCACATGACTAAGCCAAAGAGGACTTACCCTTGCACTGACACTGTATTCGAGGTCTGTGAGTCGACAGCAATGCAGAATACCACCAACTATAGAGGACTATTAATCTCGGCAATACATTATAAAGCAATGCAGAATTACACTGGCTATAGAGGACTACAAATCCCAGCAATACTTATACATCAGTGCAGAATACAATGAAGCTACATGCTCTGTGTTGCTCTGGGTTCACGGCCTGATGTCTCAGGAGGGCTGTGCAGGATTTCAGGAGGCTGTTCAGGCTCCAGATGGTCAGTGAGGTGGTCAGTGCGGGCTCTGGGCAGTCAGTAGGGGCTCTGGGCAGGGGCGTGTCTGCTTGGGCAGTCTGTGCAGGCTCACCAGTTATGCCAGGATGACGTGCTGTGGCAATTATCTACGGCCCTGGCCAGCGGTGTTCTTTCGGGAACGCCGACCCAGTCAGATGTGCCGACCTCAGCATCTGCGCTTGCGCATAGAGCAGGATTACTGAGGAAACCGGCATTTATTGACAAAGTATTTCGATATATTTGCTAATTGTGACCGTTAATAATATGCCATCCATGGCAGCAAATGATGGATGGCATTTTATGCACATTCACAATTAATATCGTAAGCAATTACTGTACATAATAATTTGTTTTCCTGGGGGGGTTCAACTTCCTCAAATTATAAGACTTTGGGGTCTATTCACTAAGCTGCCATAGGCAGCCGAGTGACTGACCAACGTGAGCCGAACGCTGTTCGACTATTCACTTCAGGCTGGTACTGCCGATTCCAGCCGTACATCGGGTGGCTTCGAAGTGCAGAAGGAGTTCGACTCAGCCGATCCAACATCTGGATCGGCTAAGCCGAACCTCAGGCAGGCTACTTGCTGCTTTTCAGGCTATTAAAATTATTAAATCACCATAGGAATGCATAGCTAGATTCCTATTGGCTATTGCAAAGTGAAACAGCCAATAGCAAACTAGCTTTTGTACCCGTCCTCTGCTGCTGTCAATCATCAGAGGGGGACCTGATGGAGAACTGCAGGTCCCCCTCTGCTGATTGACAGCAGCAGTGGGAGGGTACAATAGCTAGTTTGCTATTGGCTATTGCAAATTTAAATAGCCAATAGGAGTCTAGCTATTCATTCCTATGATGATTTTTTTTTTTTATTCTGACGGCAGCCAACGGCTCCGATGTCAGAAGAAAAAAAAATGAGCAGGGAAAGGTTTACTCTGCTCGATCGAGCAGAGTGAACCTTTCTGGGAGAAAGTGTTTCCCTCGAATTAGACTCCCAGAGCGTCCGGGAGAGTAATGACAAATGGCGTTCCTGGTTACCAAGTAACCAGGAACGCCGTCTGTCATTACACACTGAGAACATGGAGAGGCCACTCTCAGTGTGTAATGACAGCGTCCCTGGTTATCTGGTAACCAGGGACGCTGATCTCTCTGCAAGTGGCCGGAGCCAGCCGTGAGATGACGGCTGGTTCTGCCCAGCTGTCAGAAGCAGGCTGCTGCTCGGCCAAAATTCGGTAGCTGTACGGGCTATAGTGAATAGCCTATACAGCAGCCCTTTGGTTCTACTGGGCCGAAGGATCGGCCGAAGCTACGGCTAGATCCTCCGGCAGCTTAGTGAATAGACCCTTTTATCTAGCAGACACACCAAGGTTTGAAAAAATATACCAGCCATATCCTTCCTAAACCAATCCTTTACCTTGAGCAATACCGATTTTGTTGTTTGACACCATATGGATAAAAACAATGTCTTTAAAAGACTTTAACATTGGTACCTACCCACTGCACATTTTCACTGAGTATTTTCAAAACATACATAGTAAAAATATGCAGCAGGCACCAAGTAAAAGTCTATTTAAAATAAAAAATAGTGGGAGGAGTACATTAGTAACTATACTCCTGTAATTTACAGGAGTACATTTACTAATGTACTCCTCTTACCCATTTTCAGCTAATAACAGGCTACAGTGTGCTATTAGCTCAGACGGCCATGTCTCGCCGGAACTGGTCAGTATCAGTGCATCCCTAGTTTAAAGGCCTTTGTAGATGCACCGAAATTTCGTCCGATGAAACATATCGGACAAAAATGGCACTTTGGGCAAAATATTTAGGGTAATTTAGACATGGAAATGTTTCCAGCTATTTAACAAATATGTGGGGAGTAAACATTCTTTGTTGTTGTTGCTAAGTGACTGTAAATGACAAACAGCTAAACATTGGTCGGTACAAATAAGGACAGTGTGGAAAAATAGGACATACATGTAAGTGCAGCAATCTCAAGAATTTAAAGGGAGTTGTAGGATTCAATTTCCTGAGATCTCTCACATTCCACATTTGACACTTTATGTACAGTGTTGGCACATACACAGCTTGCCACCTATACTGTAGAATATATAAAGAATTGAACAGTGCCAAATATTTTAAAAGTAATGAGGGTGAGGAGGGGGCTCTGTGTGTATGGCGCCATCAGACTGCTGTAGTGGTGGAGGGTGCGGGGGGTGGGATCGCTGGCTCCTTTGTGTGTTTACATGCTGCATACATATGTAGCATGTAAACACACCTTCTGTCACCTTCTGTGCACTGCATATATGTAGTACATGTATGTTACACACGTCCAGTACACTGCAGCAATAGATTTACAATTATCCCCTGCTAATATGAATAAGTTAAAAGATCCATAGTACATAATATAACAATATGTAGTTGTACTGGACGTATGTGCTTTATATGTACTATGGATCATGATTTAACCTCTTCATGTTAGCAGGGCAGAATTGTGAGCGCCTCCCACAAGCTGAGCACCGAGACGTGATGCAGCAATCCTGCCCAGCGCCGACTACAAGAGGCAACGCGTGAGGCTACAGGGATTGGAGTGAAACTGTGAGTGAGGGAGGCTGGGACAGGGCTGGCTGTAAATCTATTGCTATAGTGTACTGGACGTGTGTAATGTATATGCAGTACATATATACAGCACACACCTCCACTACACTACAGCAATAGAGTTACAATTCTCCCATGCTAACATGAACAGGTTAAATCATGATCCATAGTACATAACATGTAGTTGTACTATGGATCATTTAAAGTCACCTGTCCCTGTAAGAAAAAGTATCGGTAATTGGTATCGGCAAGTACATGAGGGGAAGTACTTATACTTGGTCCTGAAAAAGTGGTATCGGGACGTCCCTAATTTATAGTATTTGAGACACTTCTTAGGATATAATAACCTGATACCCCTCTGATATTAGATGTCTTAATATGAATCTCAGCTATGGATATCTAAGAGAGTGGATTTACTTAAGAGGAAGGCTGGTAATGACTCCAAGACACAACATGGCACCAATAAAATGGATGTGTAACAACACAGGAGTAGCCAGGCTAACACATGCGATTATCAATAGTCAACAGTTCACCAGCCTAGGTTCCATAAATACATTCGAGGAAGTTACTTCACTTCAACACAGGTGAGCAATAAGGAAGTCCAATAAGGCATGTACGACACCAGAGACACACCGCAGATCGTTCCAAAGCTGCCTTGTGGTTGGTGGAAGTAGGAGAAAATGCTATGGGTGATAGCTGAGAGGCAAGGTCCAGAGTTGATAGTTGCTATGTAATGTGCTCCTGCTCCCGATCAGCCGACGAGTGGCAGCCTGGCCAGCTCTGCTCTCATTGCACCTGACGGTGAGCGTCCCACTACACGCACAATGTACTTCGCCTCAACTGGTCATCCGGCCACAAGATTCACCTTCCAACATCCATGGACTGAACAGAAGCCCCACAGCCCGGAGCTCACTCCCACACAGACGAGCCACAGATTCCGCCCTGCGTGCCGTGCTGACAATTAACGGCAAGATACCACCTCGTCCGTCCAAAAGTGAGTCTGCATCAATAGTTACACTGTATCTTTGAACTGTTTAACTGTTAAACACCCAGTATTCCAGGGTTGTAGCGCTCCTTCTTTCGTTGTTTCGCTAAGTAAAGCTGTAGCTGAGAAAGGTCCAACGATCCCACATCAAAGAAGGTAGTAAATGCTGGTACTTAGCTGCTTGCTCCACTAGATTCTCTGCAGTCCCAATGCTTAATCCAGGAGTAGATGATGGGATCAGGTTGTTGCAGGGTATGGCAATCCAGGAGAGATGCCTAATCAGGATGTGGTCAAAGGAAGAGCGGAGTGGTCAAAAGAATCCCCAGCCAGGATGGTACACTGAACGGTTACTGAGCAGGGAAGCGGTGTGAAGAGAGGCCTGCTCTATTGCGTGAACGCCGGGCAATTGATTTTCTCCACTTAAACCGGCTAAGAGGGAGGAACAGCGTGAAGGTGCAGGAGAGGAGGCGGAGCGGTAAGTCTCTTATAGGAGGTGAATTCAGAACTTGAAAAGTGCGTTGTGGGGATAGAAAGATTCCACCTCTACTTCCTTTTTGTCCACTGGGTCTGGGTGAGTCCAGTGGAGGCCAGCAGGAGTGGTAGAGTCAGCTTACTGAAGGCAGGTTTCAGCAACAGCAAGCATTTTAAAGGAGTTGGAGAGAAGAAGATCATGGACAGCAGTGAGCTTGTTGCAGACAGAGCGGGCATTCCAAAGGGCACATGAGAAGAGAGTTCTCGAAAGAAAGGGATTGGAAATGAGAGTGTGAGAGAGCAGGTTGTGGGGGTGAACATTAAAGCAGGAGCATAAGGCAAGTGAGATGGCAGCAAGTTTTATATGCATGCACATGCCGCAATGTCTAGCATGTGGATTCAAAATGAGCAGCAGGTGGTGAGTGGAGTAATAGGAAGAGGGCCGGAGAGAGGATGAAATACATAATCTGTTGGGTGGAGAAGAGGAGTAAAGGAAAGAAACATCAAGAAGAGAAGACACGGCTGTGGTAGAGAAAGTGTTTGAGAAAGCATATTAGGAGATAAAAAGTAGTAATAAGGTTTGGAACAGAGAGTGCTGGATGGGGAAAATAGGTTCACCTGCAGTCTGTCAGGAGCCCATTTGCTATTATTGTAATATTTTGTCATTATGTCTCTCCGTGTCAGGGTTTGCTGCGTCACTCCCAATTGGAGCGTGACCCGGTTTAAATCCCCACTAAGAGTAAACCATTGGAGTAGATATCTTATGCGTGGCGGAGCAGTGTCTTCTTGGCGAATGTATGGACGCTGGCTAGGGCCCCTGCGCGATGTGCGGATTTATTGGTTTGGCGTGTATACAACTTGCTTTGAGTACATAGTATTATTTAAGATACATATCTGCCTATATGAAAGGAATGTGCGTTTGTTCTCTCTAGTGCGCCTGATCAACCGCTGGAGATAATATGATGTTGTCCCTGTAAATAAGCACGCATGAGAATCATAGTAACTTTATTGGGCATTGATCACTGAGCAATGCAGGATAAAGTTCACTCCGGTGGTAATAGATTATTGTATTAATGTGTTTTGTTAGCTGGCAATGTTGAAGTGATGGTGGTTTCCTGTCTTGCCCCACTTCCTGTCTTGCCATCACTTCCTGTTGGGCAGATATAAAAGTGATAACAGATGCATGGGATGAAAGAGCAAACTTTTCACACTAAGACAAGACAGGCCTAAACCATAAAGATAACATCCCCTTTTAAATAAACAAAACAGTAAAGTAACTCAGGTTTTTAATCGCGAACAGGTGCGATTGCACGGGCAGAATCATGGCGGGTAGTGGCGGGAGGATCACAGGGCCAGAGGTCAGGTAAGCTCTGTACCTCAAAGCCAGGATGAGAAGTCAAGTGAGCTCTGTACCACAAACTGGGATAGGAGGTCAGGTGAGCTCTGTACCCAGTAGCTGGGATGGGAGGTCAGGTGAGGTCTGTACCTCATAGCTGGCATGGAAGGTCAGGTGAGCTCTACACCCCAGAGCTGCAAAAGGCCACCAAAAACATCCATGTGGCTTAAAACCTGCATTTTTTGTTTTCCCCAGCAAACTACCATACTGTCAGTACTAACTGAGACTCATACTGTCCGTACTAACTGAGACTCAGGAAGTAAGTCACCTGAATAAGCTGACATTTGAAATAAAATAAAGAGGATGAGTGTAAGTGCCCAGCTACCTGAGGGAATCTGATCATATCAAGTATAGGCCAGCACCAATTCATAACTCTTTTTACCCCAGTGTCACAGCAGTGTCATGGTAGATGCAAAATACTGCACCACCATGATGTAGCTTTGGCATAAGAAGAGTTGCTTTCAAATGAAAAGATACAAACGCTGCACCTACCTAGCCTCCAGCACTGTCCACCACTGAAACCCCTGTACCACCAGCTGCTGGTCCTCTTCAGGGTTGGATGACAGCCAACTTCATTCTTTTTTTTATAAATTCTTTTATTTAACAGGTTTTTAACAAATACAAATAGACATAAACAAAAAGGTGTACACAAGGGGAAGCGGAGTGAACCGTAAGTCGCAGCCGGTCTTTGGTCTCAGTGTAAGGAAAAGTAGTGCTATATGTTTATGAAGAGGAGAAGACAATTCACTGTAACCAGGTAGCGCAATAACTGGGCTCTAATTCCCTCACTGGTTCCTATATCTTTTACCTCGATCTAAATGGTCATGAATAGGTGGCGAGGTTCCATCCATTAGAGTGACATGTGACAGGTGTTCCTGAGCGCCGTGTCTTGGGGAAGATAGACAGCGTCTAGGCATTGCGGTATCCAGGGGGAGGCGCGGCCTGATAGCCGGTATATTGCCAACTTGGCGGGTGCGTACTCTGCTGCGGGGCCGAGGGTATGGGGAAGGACGTGGGGGAGCCAACTTCATTCAAACCATTTCTCGTAAGTCCAGCCTGTCATGGACTGGCTTCCTGGTGGTACATCACTGTGTTGATCTGGACTCGCAATACAATAATGGAAAGCGCTTGGCTGATTTCATAGTGTCAGCAACACTCTCTACAGTATTGAAGACCACCCAGTGCCGCTACAGAGAGAAGAGGAAGAAGAACCAAAGACTTTATCTGACTGGCCAGAAGACTTCAGAAAAAATGAACTAGGTCCACAGTGTGGTGTGGGGATGGTTTAACAAGACAGAGTTCTGCTTTAACATAATATCACTCTATCCTGAAAACCAGACTCTCATATATCTAATAACTGCCAGGTTCTTTAGATAAATCAGAATTGTGAACTTACATGGCAGGATGAATGCTTATGTTCTGTGAGGTAAAGGTGGCTGTTTAATAAATAGAGCCACAGGAGTGGACTTTGTGCACATGAATCTTAGCTATGTCAGGATACCATATGCTGAAAGGCCCGCAGAAATGACAGGATTCGCTGTTTAAAATGACATGCTAAAGGAATATATAGACCTTATTCTTAGGCATTTCCTGAGATGTATTTTCACCCCATCCTCTGGAATCTCAAAGCGTGGAAATCTTCAGGGTTTAGTCAGGAGCAGAGCACAGAGGCCACAGGGCTTCTTGAAACATCAGAAAGGAATTATTCAAAAAATAAAAAAACTCCAGGATCATGTGCTATTAATATTGTGAAAGTATAAATCAGGTACATTTTGTTCTGAAAGCCATTCCTTTAAAAAAAAAAAAAAAGCACAACATTAACACGCCCATATTAGATAATATCACATTTCATAATCCATGCCTTTGGCATAATGACTCAGGAGGGGTAGCGGAATGTCCCGGGAGGGGTGCGGACGGTCTCAGGAGGGGTACAGAGGGTGTCATGAGGGGTGTGGAAGGTCTCTGGAGGGGTGCGGTGGGTGTCATGAGGGGTGCGGAATGTCCCAGGAGGGGTGTGGAAGGTCTCAGGAGGAGTGCAGAGGGTGTCAGGACGGGTGCAGAGGGTCACTGTAATTGCTCATTCTTATACAATCATATGAATTTCTAGTGATTGTATAAGAGCAATAGTTTGTTTTAGATGACAATACAAGCAGGAGAGGGGAGGGGGAGAACGAACACTACACACTGCCATCTTAACTCCACAAACAGCGCTGCGGCCTGCAGTGCTCAGCCCGGCCAGGACTCCAACAGGCGGCAAGCTCCGCCTCCCACTGACAGGACGCTGCAGATGACTCATCGCTCCGAAGTCTCAGAGAGATCAATCTGCTCTCTCTGAGACTCTGGAGCTAGGAGGCAGATAGGAGAAAAGCAGCGAGTGTGTGCGGACGGCAATGCATCCCGGCGGAGTCTGGCAGGGAAGGAGCGGCACTCTCTGGGGGGGCCCTCTTCTTCTTCGCTGGGCCCCCCCCCAAGTGGTGGAACGCCAGGGCCCGGTCGCAATTGCGACCGCTGCGACCCTGGTAGTTCCGCCAGTGCCAAAATCAACATACTGTATATGTTTTAGGTACAGCTCATCTCAACCTGTAGTGAGAGAAATCTAAAAGCTGTAATTTCTGAGCTGCTTCTAAAAATGAAACAAATATGCATCCAGTGAAGTCAGAGCAAATTCAGAATGTCTGCTCTGCGTGCCTGTTCCAAAGGCCAATGAATCAGCATGACAACCAGGGAACTAGATTTTTTTCAAAAGGAGAGGTCAGCAAAGGCGGTCTACATACTAACAATTTCCTGGTAAATTATTAGAATTTTGTTGGCACACACCAGCACACACCTGGCGTTATTAAAGTAAAACTATGGTTTGAAGGACAGACATATATGATGCAATCTGTCATATAAATATAACTCCCCTCTGTAGATAGTTTTACTGGCTTTTGATCTGCTGGTAGATCTGCTGTTTATAAACTTGCTACAGCAGGATGACAGTGCTCTTTGTCTTGCATTGAAATTGCTGCAGCGTTCGTCAGCATTTTTTAGATCAACAATACAGTTTTTGTTTTTTATATAATACTTTATTTATAGGAGGGCAAGTGAGTAAATACAGACATTTGTATAGAAATACAGCGAAATAGTACAAAACAATGTCCAAATTATCAAATTGCAATGAGGCCACAAAACGTGACAGTTGTAAGCAAGTAATTCGATCCAACAGATACGTCTAGTCTCATGCAGGAAGGTCAAGCTTGAAATATGCTCGATGATGAAGACAATGTGCATACCCAACCCATCTGATTTTTAAATTATAACAGAGGAAGAGAAACCATAAAGAAAAATGAACACTAGTGCAATCATGTAGAGTGAAGAAAAAGAGGGGGAGGGTAAAAGGAGAACGCAGGAGGAGAAAAGGGGAATGAGGTGAGCAGAGGGGAGAGAAAAGGCTGAAACAATCATAAGAAAATGAGAAGAGAAGAAGAAGAAGAAACAGAGTGTCCATCCGGGTGAGGGGCTTGCCATTAACCAACCCATACCAGAAGGCACGGGTCAATCCTGTACCAGGAACACATAAGAATCAAGTACCAGCTGCCTAACCAAAAGCAGAAGATTCGGTAAAGTCAATCCAGGGAAGCCAGGTGACCAAAAATGTATCAAATCTGTCATGGAGCGACGCTGTCAGGTAAGCATAAGTTTGTTTACCTTATTGATCCACATGGTTACTGAGGGAGTATCTCGGGATTTCCATGTAAAGGTAATGCAAACCTGTGCGGCATTGAGTAAATGAATCAAGAGAGAGGATTTGTACAACTTAATAGAAGGGATCGAGAGGTGAAGCAGAAAGAGTGCAGGATCCAACTCAATGGCTGAGCCCGTGTCTTTCAAAGTAACGTCCCTAATGCCTCGCCAAAAAGGTTGCAAAAGTGGACAGTCCCAGAAAACATGTAGCAAGGAGTCGAGCAATTCCTGTATTCTGCTTGAAATTGAAGATTTATGGGCAAAAAACAGGATCTTATTTCTTTGGGTCGATGAGAAACGAAGTGTCAGGTCAGTTTCCCAGAGCTGAAGAAATTTAGGTGGTGGGCGATCCGACCAGTCATTTAAGAGTGAAACCATGGCTTGCAAGGTATGTCTCAGGGGCTATGCATTGTGATAGGCCTGTTCAAGCTGTGTGAGAGGTCCCATGAGCAGGGTCTTTAAGAGAACGTAAATAATGATACAGCTGCATCAAGCGCACAAGTTTCAGTGTCGACATTAACCTACCCTCAGTAGTGAAGTGCAGCAATCTGTATACATTTTCAATTGACAATCTCTGGACTAGTTCTCCTGAGACCCGGTGAAAAGGTTGGGTTGCCAAGCACCGGTGTCAGAGGAGACAGTAAGGAGGAAACTCGGGCCAAACGAAAGATTGGTACAATAGTCTTCAGTCGCTCTAATCATAGGATTAGTCCAAGTCGAAAGTGGCGGGACCGAGTAAAGCCATGGTAGGTTCTGCAAGGGGAATTCACAGAAAGTCTGTTCTAGACGAACCCACAGTTTGGACTCAGAGTGGCAGCACCAATCTATGAGTAGGGCTAAGTGAACTGGATTGGTGCTGCCACTCTGGAAATAGGAAAGCGCTGAAGATGGAGCGAACACGTTTCAAAAAGGATGTTGGAATATCTATAGGAAGGGTTTGCATCACATATAGCAAGCGAGGGAAAATATTCATTAAACATACAGTTTTTAAGCAGTTACAGAAAAAAAAATTCCTTTTGGAAAAAAAAGTTTAAACCATATTAAAAAGGTGACCATCTACTTTTGTCTCTTTCTTCACCTTTCTATTTTTTCTTTCGTAATTTATGCTCTGGTCATTCCGGGAATTAAGGCAGGAGTTACTGACAAAACAAGGTGAAAGGGAATTTTTGTCAGGTGCATTTCTCAGGGATGTACTGCCTCTTAGTTTTCAAGCTTGCTATCATATGACCAAAAGTACATACAGAAAGATGAGTAAGTGCAATGATGATTTTGATCTTTATGCATATTGTTCCTTTGTATGAAACTTGAAACTTTGAAAATAAAGAATTTATTTAAAAAAAAAAAAAAAAAAGGTGACCATGTAAGCACTCTCAGGAGTGTAATAGTTTGTTTCAATCCCTGTAACTGCCACCTTTGCTGGACAGCTTGGTTTGCATATGAATGTTGAAAAAATATGAATAAAGTTATGTAAAATAAAAAAGTAATTGATATACTGAGTACTATCATTAATAATCGAGTAACAAGTAATAATTAATACAGTTTTAGCGCACACCCCCAAAGGAGCCGCAGGATAGCCTGTCTAGGGATTTTGGTAGCTTGGCTGCCTTTGGCTGCCTCAATAGCACTTACCACTTTTCTGTGGCGGGCGATAAAGCTGAGATCCAGACTGTAGATATGATGCTGAAGGAACTTTATTGTAGAACTTCAGGGAAAGGGAGGGTTAGGGCTAGGAACATCCAGGATGGTGTCAACTCCTTTAAATTCAAGAACAAAATATCTCCTGGTATCACAGACTAGAACCTTTAAGCCAAATAGGGCAATCTGTGTTTAGAGCACCTGGCTAAGCAGTACTTGAATCAGAAGTCACCCGTCTATTCAGGAACATACTCTGCAGTCATAGCAGTGGATCACTTCTCTCGCTCTCCACACCTGTTTAAGTTACTCTGTCATTCTCATCCTTGGTATCAGTCACTGTGCCCCCAGACACAGGCCTCAGTGTTAGCACATGGCTTGGCCTCCTAGGATTCAGGCCTAGCCAAATCAGACAGTCAGTAGCAGCCTTCTCCCAGGCAGGGCGCGGGGGGTGAAAGGGAACCTCATATGGTCTGCCCTAAATATTTATGTCCTCTCCCAGCATGCACCAATGGCCACAAACCTCCTAGTGATTGGCCAGGGGGACATAGATATTCATAGCAATCTATTATTGGTTGCTCTGTTCTGTGGCAAGGATACACCAGCAGCAGGCAGATGCAAATGATAACAGATTGCTTAGGGGAAACCAAATGAGCATTACCTATAGATCAGTATCAGACTAAATACAATCTGACAACAACTCATTTAAATAACACTACACAGTTAACAGAAAACTATGAGAGGAATTTATCAAAACTGGAGCAGACAAAATCTGAAGCAGCTGTGCGTGGCAACCAATCAGCTTCTCTCTTTCATTTTCAAATCTTAACTGAACAAATTAAAGAGATAAGCCATGGGCAACTGCTCCAGATTCTTTCTGCAGTTTTAATAAATTCCTCCAAATATTTTCAAGGAGAGTGGGCGTTTAACCAACATTTAGGGAAATTCCCAATCATATTTGCTCCAGAACTCTGGAGTTATTAACCTCCCTGGTGGTATTCACGAGTGTAGCTCGGGGTTACTTTTCCATACCATAAGCGGTAACCCCGAAATAGCATTTACTTACCTTGTCCCTCGAGCCGCGTTGTGTTCTGCGGCCGATGCCGGCTTCCGTCTTCTGGGTTCCGTCCCTTGCGTGCGTACGCATCGCAGGGGGGCGGAACCGGTGGCATATTCAAAATGAAAAAAAAAACGACAGACGAAAACTGTTTGGAAAAAAAAATAGATCGAAAAATGACATGAAAAAAATTTAAAATCATACCGCCAGGGAGGTTAAAGGAAAATTATGGAGTTAGTGAAAAACACACTGATTGTTTGATTATACCTGTTGCTAGTTTGGGGCCTCAGTATACAGTGTTGGAGGATCAATCCTCAGATTATGAAAATGCATCTGACTCTGACCAATCCCTGAGCATGCTCACTCAGAGGTATGACTGGAGGAAGGTGATAAATATTTGGAAACCCCTTCCAGAACTCTTTCTCTCCCCTGGGGCTTCTCCCTGGGAGGAGGTCAGCATGTGGCAGATGCTGGGGGCCTAAGATGCTACTGAGAATCTGTTTATTGAGGAGTGTGGCAGAGGAGCTGGTGAGAGCTGCCGTCTGGACCCTGTAAGAGATCACTCGCCCTACACTCAAATATTATACAGAAGAGAAGCCAGTTGGTGCACTGTAAGTCCTGTGACTGTTCTCCTTCAGAGTCTTGGACTGTTGCTGGCTGTTCTCTGGTGCTACTACCTATCACTGGTTGCTCTCATATGATCTGTTGCTACCTGTTACTACTGTT